TGCTATTGCTATTGCTATTGCTCTCTCCTGCCTCGCGTCATGCAGAAGATCATGTGAGAGAAGACGGAGGTGATCCTGGTGGGCCCCCCCAACTGGCCACGCAGGCATTGGTTTGTGGACTTGCAGACCCTTTTGGTGGACAGGCCCTGGAGGATTCCTCAGGACCAGATCTCCCTCAGCCAGGGGTCACTGGAACATCCCAATCCCCAATGGTTCCAGTTGACCGCCTGGCGATTGAGTGGAGCGTCTTGAGGGAGGACAACTACTCCTCCAGGGTCAGCCAGACTATCCAGGCCGCAGGCATCCCTCAACTGAACGCATCTACGATTCCACCCGGCGGTCCTTCTGCTCCTGGCGTGCTGGTAAGACTTTGGATCCCGTTAGGGTTACTATCCCACAGGTCCTGGAGTTCTTTCAGGATGGTTTGGACAAGGGTTTGGCCACAAACACCATCCAACGTCAATTGGCAGCTATTTCTTCTGTATTGACTTGTGGGGGTACCTCTTCACTGTCCCAGCAGCCCACGGTACGTCATTTCCTTAAGGGAGTGTCTAACCTTAAGCCACCGGTGGTGCACAGATATCCCTCATGGGATTTACCCAGAGTTCTTGACGCTTTTACAACAGCCCCATTTGAACCACTATAGGAGATCTTACTTAGGTTCTTAACTTTGAAAGTATCCTTTCTGGTGGCCATCACCTCTGCCAGAAGGATCTCAGAACTGCAAGCACTTTTGGTAAGAGAAGATCTGTACATCTTCAATCAGGACTGTGTAGTGTTACGACTGGATCACTCCTTCATTCCCAAGGTGTGCTCCTGCTTTCACTGCGTTCAGGAACTTGTGTTACCCAATTTCTGCCCCCAGCCTTCTCACCCTTTGGAACACAAGTGGCACACCTTGGACATGAGGAGGGCGCTAAAGATTTATTTGAAAAGGACCTGGTCTTTTTGTACATCAGAGTCTCTTTTTGTATCCTTCCAGTCAACATCCCTGGGTAGGAAGGTTTCGTCCACCACATAGGCAGATGTTTGTGGGCCTGTATAGCTGCAGCTTATCATTCCCACTCTGTTCCAGTTCCAGGTAGATTGACTGCACACTCTACAAGGAGTGCTGCTACCTCGGCGGCCTGGGCGGCCCAAGCTTCCTTGGCAGAGATTTGTAGGGCAGCAACTTGGGTTACCCCATCTCCTTTCATCAAGAATTATAAGCTGGACGTCTTTGCATCTGCAGATGCAGCCTTTGGCCAAAGAGTGCTACAGTCAGTCCACAGGATAAGCACTCTGCAGAACCAGTCATATGACCTCCCGGGGGGGACGAAAGTTACTTTGCTACGTCCCAGTCTGGATGCTACCTCCACCACAATGGAGAAAGGGCATTGGTCCTTACCTGAGACGCCTCTTCTCATAGGGTGGAGGTAGCATCCAGCCCCTCCCAAGACAGGACTGGTTCCTTTGCTCAAGACTTCTGTTGGGATTGTTCTCATTGCGGTTTTAGTGCATAAGGGTTTTGTGGCTGACTTTTACCTTAGACATCTCTACAGAACTTTTCTACACAGGATACTTGATACCTTGACATGCTGGATTTCTGGAAGTGATGATGCATCGAGTCTGACATCCTTCATCGGAACTGGACTTTGCCTAGCGACAGGGACATGGTTTCAACAACTGTCAGGCTCAGTCCTTGCAATGAGTGGATGAAGGCCAACCCAGTCTGGATGCTACCTCCACCCTATGAGAAGAGGCGTTTCATGTAAGGACCAACGCCCTGTTGTCTCACATTTGAGCTAAAGGAGCATAAGAAATGCCATTATTTACAATACATGGTGTTAACATTTGAGTACATTAGAGTCCCGTTAGCAGAAAAAAAATGTATAGTGCTTAGAAACTCATAGTAAAATTATTCCATAGTATTATCAATGTTACATTCCAGTTACAAAGGTCACAGTTGGATTGCCTTCTTTATTGTTCTAATGGAAGAATTCTTGGAGTATATAACCTAATTCTGGAGTGCAAGATTCAGGAATGGTAGCCATAAAAAGCTTTGCACAAAGCTTTTGCACAAAAATAAGAAATATCTATGTAGGAATATACTGGTGGTTTTTTTTTACTCTAGAAGTAAATTCTATAAGTGGCAATCCATATTGTCGTTGACCTACAACTGTAATTGAGCCCATAATTACAGTTGTAAGTCATGATAATCATAAAGTGGTCCATCACATGATCTTTTTTTGCAGCATCCTTAAGTGAACCCTACAGACATTAAATGAACCCATTATTCACTATGGGTTGTATATTTTCTAAAAACTAGAAGTAAATGCTAGTTTCAGGAAAAATAAATGTAAATGTAAATTATATGACCATTGCAAATGGTCATAAATGTAGGCTGGTTACCAAACATCAAAAATGCAGTCTCATGACTATAGGAAGGGTGCATTCTGAATCCTAGTTTATATCCAAAATTTTATTTGGTTAACACTAGTAACAATCTGAGATCACATAGTTGATTAAATCTCTAATGTTAAAAAAATGGTCTAGAAAAATAATGCAGTCTCCTGAAAGGCCTTTGCAAAGAATAAAAACCGTTATTGTCAGGGTTCCAATTATACACCCATAGAACAGAATGTTCCAATTAAAAAGGTAGGGGCAGTCTTTCTAGAAACAGTCTTGACTTGGTGACAAGTATCACAAGATGAAACATAACCCTTGATATCTGCTATCAAAAGTTGCAAAACACTCAATTTGTTCCAATGGTTCTTTGTCAAGGTAGAGTTGCAATATTTTTTTTCTCTTAAGTGTATAAGTAGCTGTTGTGAACAACTATCTATTATTCACAGACAAAGGTGAAACAAGATCTAGAACACACCCTCACCTTTCAAAGACACTTTTCAAGAGATGTCAAAAGATGTCATAAAAATATACCAACTTGCAAATAGAAGTATTTCCCACTTTCTGGAACTCTTAATATGAACTGTAATTAATTAGATAATGCTGACTTAGATTAGAAACAGTTTGATTCAATATCAACAGAATCTTTTGCTACCAGGATTGCCTTTCTCTCATTAAACTAGTTGTTGCTCCATTTCTGTGTTTCTGTACTACTTCTTCTAACATTATGATTTTTATCAATATTTGTTCTGTAGTATGCAACAATTCAGACTTACTCACCCTTGAAGTCACTATAGATGGAACACTGAAGGGGGATATTAGTGGAATTACTGACACTGAAATAGCTACTAATGTCAGCATTTCTTATGAAACGTCTGTAAAGCTGAAAAAGATACATGTTCCAATCCAAGACCTTGATTCTTTGATGAAAGAAAAGTAAGTATAACATAAACAAGCAAATGAAAAAAGACTCCAGTCACATTTAACATTGTCCTCAAGTTCTCCATTCTTCTAAAACAATACCGTGTTTCCCCAAAAATAAGACAGGGTCTTATTTTCTTTTGCCCCACAAAACATGGCCTTCGGCTTATTATAGGGGGAGGGCTTATTGTTTTGTGTTTGCCGGGCAGCTGCTCCCTTGCAAACTGGCTCCTGAAGAGCTGGGCACAGCCTCAGGGGCGAAGCAGCCATGAGGTGACCATGCTCATGAGCAACCGCCTGGCAAACCTCCTCTCCAGCCGGGCAGAGCGCCATTCACTGACCTAGGGGATATCCCTAAGGCGCCAAGGCACGTGGTGCTCTGCCCGCCACCCAGCTCCTGCGGCTTGGCACATTAGGGATACCCCCTAGGTCAGTGCATGGAGCTCTGCCCGTCTGGAGAAGGGGGTTGCACAAGCACCTGTTCCACCCCCAACAAGCATGCCTCCCAGCCCCACCATGTCCCGGCCCAGCTTTCCCTGCAGGGCCAGGGTGCCGCCACTGTGCTCCGTGCATAACCTCTTCTTCAGCTTCCAAACTCCAAAACTCAGCTGCCAATTCTTACAATAGCGGCCGCTCTAGGAATGCGTTCTATTGTTGTGGGCTGGCTGCCAGACAGAGAGTCTTCCAGACAGAGAGTCTTCCAGCAGCCAGTCCTGACCCTGCAGGGAGACTTGGGCCAGGGCATGGTGAGGCTGGGAGGCAGGCTTGCTCGGGGCAGAACAGGCGCTCGCGCAACCACCCTTTCCAGTCGAGCAGACCTCCATGCATTGACCTAGGGGTTATCCCTAATGTGCCAAGCCGCGAGAGCTGGGGGACGGGCAGAGCGCCACGTGCTTTGGTGCTTAGGGATACCCACTAGGTCAGTGAATGGTGCTGTGCCGGCTGGAGAGGGAGTTTGCCAGGCAACTGCTTGTGAGCGTGGTCACCTCATGGCTGCTTCACCCCTGAGGCTGTGCGTGGCTCTTTGGGAGCCCACTTGGAAGGGAGCAGCCGCCCGGAAACTCCTGCCTCCGCTCAGGCAGAACACCAATCCCCAAAGTAGCAAGCAATGTGAACACCTTGCCCCCCCCCCCCGGCTCCCGTGGCTTGGCACCTTCAGGATACTGCTAGATCAGTGAATGGTGCTCTGCCTGGCTGGAGGGGGGGGTGTCCAGGGGGCTTATGTTCAGGGGTGGGCTTATATTTTTGCCCAAAAATGTGGCAAGGCATTAATTTCAGGACAGGTCGTATTTTCGGTGAAACACAGTACTTTACATAAAGTCTCTGTTAGTTTCAATTTTAGCAATTGCATAGCTTTTCTATAAGAGAATCTGTACCCAACTTAATCTTTCAGGTCTTCCAGTGATGCATCTATCACCACTAAAGTTGAGTCTATCTGCCTTATTGTTGCTGGTCCTCTTCTTCTCTTTCCTTCCTAGCATTATAGATTTATTCACAGAACTATGTCATTGGGTCCAAAATAGAATTTAAAGGCTTTAGACAGCTGTAAATCTTCAATTGCAACAAGATTTAATTATTTCTAAGCATTAACCAAATATGGTAAAGAACATGACTCAGAAATGTACACAGAAAATGGAAAGGAAATGTATAGGATTACTTATTGCAACGGAACCTATATTTATTGGATTGGGGTTTTCGTTCCCCAAAAATTATAAATTGAATTGCAGTCTATTTTATTGCGGTATACATTTATTCTTTTTTAGAAAAATCAACAATGAACATCCATTTATTAAACAATCAAGGAAGCTCCAGAGGAACTTGTATGTGATCACTGCATCAGCAGAATCTGTGGAAATGACAAAGTTTGAAGAATCTAACAAACTGGAAAGCAGCATTTTTCATAAAGCCCACGTCAAACTGAGCCTGAAGGTCTAATCTGAATAGTGAATTATGAAATTGAAGGAAAGAAAATGCACCTCTTCTCACCAAATTATTTTATCCTATAAAGCTGATCCAAGATTTTATTTTGTCTTTTAGGGTGCCAGAGATAAGAAGAAAATAATCACTATCCCAAAGGGATGCATCTTGGCATTCAAGGCTAAGAAATTATTTATAGAAGAAGGAACTGTAGGTAAGGGGCTTTTTTAAATCTAAGGCTTGTGCCAATGACTAATTTTCTGAAATGTTACTCTTCCAGCCAAGCTGAAAGTTTCAAAGATCTAGTAGTTGGTCTGACGACAGGTAGAAGTGAGCTTGATAGATATTTGATATAATAAATTGCAGTTCTCATGTTCATCCATTTTCTCAAGAAAGACAGATGTTGGTATATTTTGAATTCAGCCTTCTATTCAATGGAGCATGGCTTCCTCAATCTCCTATTACCAGTTCCTTTACTCTCCACTTTGCAACTGCTTTTACTATTAGAGTTTTGTTTATATAATTCAATTGAAATCTTTCTTCCTATGACTTAAGTTATTATTTAATTCCTGAATTCTGGAATGAATGAGAGCAATATATGTTCTTTTCTTCATAACATACAGGTAGCCCATAATATAGAACCACAATTGAACCCAAAGTTTTCAGTGCTAGCAAGACAAGTATTAACTGAGTTATTGTTAACAACTGCAGTTGTAAAGTTAGTAAAAGTACTGTTAAGTCAATCTGGCTTTCACATTGGCTTTGCTTATCAGAAGGTTGCAAAAGGTGGTCACATAATCCCAGGAAAATCATAAATACATGCCAATTGCCAAGTGTCTGAATTTTGATAATTGGACCATGAGGATACTATAATGGCCATGTGAAAAACAGTCATAAGTTACTTTTTTCAGTGCCATTGCAACTTTGATAGAGTACTAAAAGAGGATTGAAAGTTGATAACTACCAATACAGGTAGTTACCCTCACCACCCTCCAGACCTTCACCACCCTCCAGACCTTCCGCGTAGCCCTCAAGTCCTGGCTGTCCCAACAGGCCTGGGGCTAAAGATTTCAACCCCACTCGAATTGTATGACTGTTGTGTTTTTAATCATGTATCATTTTTATGTCTGTGACTCGTTTGTCCTCCCTCCCCTTGAGTTGTGAGCCGCCCTGAGTCCCCCCAGGGAAAAGGGCGGCATACAAATAAACCATCTCAATCTCAATCTCTCAATCTCAGGTATGTGAAGAGTGCTATCATATCCTTTCCCAGTTTTCTTTAGCAGTGAGGTCTTCAGACATTCCCAGTTTACTTAATTCCCTGAGTATTACTTCCTTTTCTGAACGTATTTATTCTATCTGGCTATGTCTGGAAAGAAGGTGACTTTGACTGGACACAATACTTAAAATAATGTTTGACCAAAACAAATAAAATAAAAATACTACTTTCCATGTTAAAATGTAACTTCTTTTGATACAAACCAAAATTTCATTCCATTCATCTGGTATGCACATCCTCCCTCCTGGGGATCCACTTCCTCAGTACATTCCATTATATTTTCCTTGCAATTAAAGTCAACCCCATCGCCATCATTTTGCTATATTGCTG